TCACCAGGACAGGAAGTGACATCTTAGTAACACAGAAACAAACAAAATTCTCTTCTTTTTTTAATCTCTTTTGGTCTCCCCCATTGGGACGGTTCTCTGCACTTCCAGTGTGGTCACCCATTATTTCTTCTAACTTTTGAGATGGTATCCCCATACAGGTTATGGTGAGAAGGGACTAATGGAATCAAAAAGCCCTCCAACCACATAAGTCCATATCACAGTAAGCTCTTCCTAGAGCAGAGGGTATTCACATGTCTCATTCCATCACATATCCCAAAAATAAAAGGATTATTACTCATTTCAGAAAAGTGGGTGGAGCCATGCAAATCATTCCTTTATGCCCCCATCAGACAGATGCGCATCCAAAACTGCTGGTGTACAGTACAGATATGGCCCCATATTTAAGAGCTAAATACCCCAAGCTCCATACGGCTGTTTCAGTCCATTTGACCATCATCAGTGAAGTTTATGACAACCATCACTTCTATGGAGTAGGGCTTGGTACCCAACGAGTCAAATTCAGGCTTTTTGGCTATCATGAGTGCAGTGTATGGAAGCCATGCTTCCATGGTGTAGGGTTTGGGATCCAATGAGAGAGTTTCAGTCTTTGTGGCCCTCATCAGTGCAGTGTATGGAAACCATGGCTTTTAAAGAGTAAAGCTTGGGACCCAACATGAAGGTTTCAGATTTTTTGGTGCAATGTATGCAAACCATACCTTCTATGGAGTAGGGCTTGAGACTCAAGGAGTGAGTTTCATAGCTTCTGATCATCATCAGTGCAATGTATGGATTGGAAACCGTGAGTTTTATGGACTACATACAGATTATGGTGAAAGCCCCTAAACCAATCTATGCATAGCACAGTAAAAACTTCTTAGAACAGAAGGTATTCTTACTTCATTCCATCACATATCCCGAAAATAAGAGGATTATTACTCTTTTTTACATTGCTACTTCCAGCAACATTGACACCCTGTGACAGGAAGTAAGAGGAAATTTCCTCAGCTGGGACAAAGACAGAAACAATGTTTGAAGCTGAATCGAAAATTTTGGCAGGAGTTCCACTATTTCAATACATCTCAGATACCTACATAATCTCTACTTTTAACTCAAGGCAATTGCTCAGAAGTGGATCTTTTTTTGCCTAGCACAGTCATTTTTTTTGGCTCTACAGAAACAAATCAACAGATTAAAATAAACCTATAGACTTGTCTGCACTAAGTGTTTTATGTAATCACAGATTCTCTGCATAAAGTTTCGAGGAATGTAACATTTCTTGAGAAATGAAGAGGGGACATGTTTGAAATCTTTAAATACAATCAGAGGCAGCTGTCATTTGTAAGGAGCACACGGAGCTCCCGGGATTTGTACATCTCTGTTTTAATGTATGATTTTGTTTTTATAAATATAAATAAAGAGATGCATAGATACCAGTTTTGCGAGTACAAGTACTGATACATTTTTGTTTATTGTCATGTGACAGTTTTTATAAAACAATACAGACTAATGATTTCAGGACAGTTGTGGAACGCCAGAGCCCAGTCCAAGCTGCAACCTTGGTAGTTCGCATGAAAGTGCCAAGTATCGGCATTGGTACTCGAAAAGTATCTGTGCATCCCTAATTGTCACATATGAATTGGCCACCAAAGAGTCCAAACCTTAACCCTATTGAGAACCTTTGGGATGTGCTGGAGAAGACTTTACACAGTGGTCCGACTCTCCCATCATCACTACAAGATCTTGGTGAAAAATTAATGCAACTCTGGATGGAAGTAAATGTTGTGACATTGTATGAGCTTTTTGAGATGATGCCACGGTGAATGTGTGTCGTAATCAAAGCTAAAGGTGGTCCAACGAAATATTAGAGTGTGTGGCTTATGTTTGGACAGGCAGTGTACATGCTATAGGTCTATATCCTCATACAAAAGAAAGCCCCCACCACAGAAAAGAGAAGACTTGATGGACCACTTGGACTTTCTCTGCTTGTGATTGATGAAGTGCAAAGTTGGACTCTACCTTGTGTGAAAATTCCTGTGCTTGCAATGGACAGAAAAGAGAGAACACGAGAGAGACACACGCAAGATACATAAAAGCCAACTGAAAACTCTGACATAGACATTCATTTTGTTGAAACGGAAACGAGAAACGTCAACACTTAAAAATACTTTTTATTTTATAGTTTTGACATTAAAATATTGGACGATCAAGATGAGTCTTTGCCTTAGCTCCAGTCATAAGCTACACCCCCAGGAAAGACTGCATGGTGACCAATTTAAAGAAACATTTTCACCTTTTATTTTGCACTTAAAATGTGCCCTGCTTCCTCTTAAAGGAGTTGTGTAGGCAAATATAAAAACATTCTCAGAATATTGCTGGGGGTTAACAGTATGGCAACAAAATGTGTAATATACTCATCGGGGCCTAATTTTGTTTTACAGCTAGCCGCACTTGTCAGTTACTGGCATCATCACATGCTGTTATCCTTTCTCATAGCCAGTGACATTGTGGGCCACAATCTCTGGGGATACTGAGGAAAGATATTTCAGGCTTTGGAGATTGCGAGCTGCTCTAGAAGCAGAGTACATGCCGTCTGTTCATTCTGAGTTGATCAGTCATCACAACACTTTAACATATTGCATTACGTCTCTAGCAAGGCTCACATACTCCGAATTTGCTTCTGGCATTATACGCTACTCGCTGTCAGATAGAATCAGAACTCTATTCAGCCTGTCACAACCCCTTTGAAGGGGGGAAATAACGGTTTCAGGAACGTACCACCTGGATACATGGAAAACACATCAAAAATACAATGTCTTGGGAAATAATATCATTGGTTACCATAAATAATTTTCTCTGGATTACATGTGATGTATTCTTTGTCCCAAATACATTACCTATCTGGGATACTTTGTTCACAACACTGCTAGAAGATAGAAATAATGTATTAACACCATTATTTATCATACAAACCTGTCCGAAGGAGGACTGGCCAGCGAAAAAATATAAATATATAAATAGTTCTGACATTTTGATAAAGATGATATTTGGAAAATAAATAACAATGTCATTATTTGGATGGCGATAACGTTTTGCGATATACTTTGTTATGAGTGATGAATATACAGTTCGGTGGTATGTTTCTGTACATCCTCCAGGAAATTATTTTAGAAAGGTGAAGACATTTTGGAGTTATTTAAGTCATGTAAAAAAAAAAAAAAAAATAGAAGGTTCCGTCTATACATGTGGAAATGTCTTATTCTTTGTGAGTTCTCATGATGTACAGTTTATTTCCAACCAATGAGAGTTGTTACTCCACTGTAAGCACCTTGTGATTTGTATTGTGTAAATGCTACATGTTCCTTACTAAGATTCAGGGTGATGTTCAAAAAAAGACATTTAGGTCCTGTGACATTTCTTTTAACCGTTCCAGATATTGAAGACACAGAAGATATCCTACCTTGAGAGGCAGTATTTAAGCTGGAGTCACTAGGAACAATGGATCTCACCATGGTTCCAATGGTTTCTCCACCAACAGTCAGTACCTTCATACAATCCTACCTCTTTGTCTGGTGGCTGTCCCTTATTCACTGTCTATATCTTTACTAAGTACCTACAGTCATCAGTATGTCTTGATTTTGTTTTCCTTAACCATTCCTGTTTGTTTTTCTCATGTCGCTTGTCTTTGAAGGGTTCCATGGTATGGGAACTCAGCTGCAGCCTTCTTGTCTTAAGCGAATAATATCACCAACTGCAATATGTGACCCATTTATAGCTTGGCAGCTATGATTTATTAATTATTCACCATCATGAAAAGTCAATTTCAGACTCTGATACTTAGAGTGTTTTTTATATGTAACCCTTATATGGGTTTTCCCTCTTTTTACCATGAACAGCTCTGTAGTTCATCTATATGTCTAATTCCTATACCTGTGTTGGCTTTTGTAAAGGACCTACCCTTCTGATCAATCTTGTTAATTTTGTGACCTATACAGAAGTCTTACATTGACATGTGATATCCTACTATTAAGGTATAAGTGTGACCTTCCCCAGCAACCTTATATCCAGTGTTGACTCCTCTACTGAACTCTTAGATTTTCAGAGTTCATTGTATTTGGTTTCCTTTACATGGATTCCATCAGCCATTTTCCAGCTATAGTAAGGAATAACTTTCCCTAAAGTGCTAAAGGTGCACACAAAATGTGTAAAGTCCTACTGGTCATGGACATTCCACATACAACCTTAGTATGTTCAGTCTTCTATAGGGCCCATCCAACAAGTGTTCACCACCAATTTCACTTCCACCACACATAGTGGTCATACTTTTAATGTAAGTTATCTTGTCTTGGAGTTAGTAGACCAAGATGACAAATGCTCATTCTGACCCTATTATGGAAAGAGAGTCTAAACTGACTATGTTCTGTAACACTTGTCCACAAGTTTTAAAGCATGAAAGGCACTCCAGAATTGATGGACAACACTGGTCTCCCATGGATCGTACCAGTATGTCCAACCAACCAAGAGTACTTCCAAGGGCGAGATGTCTTAGTTTGACAAACAGTGTAACAAGGATGCTGCAGTCCCGTCATGTTTTGTCCTGGCTTAGTCAAACACTGAGTAGTTGGTGACCTGTGCTTTGAATGATGAGTTAGACATATCATTGTCATTGTGCCTATGGATTTATCCAGTGCTGTAACTATGACAACACCCTTTAAAATAAAAATATTTTATAAACATCAGATGATAGTGTTGACTGTGCTGATTGATAAGTGTACCTACTAACCACATCAATACTCTCAGACCGTTCTTCCAAACTCCCCTCCAGTCAATCTTGGTTTGAATTGTCCTTCACCAATAACCTCATACCATTTCTATTTGCTTTTATTTTGGTGTTCTCCTTGATAATGTATCTGCTCCTGTATAGAATATGTTTTACCTGAAAAAAGATAAAAGAATGAAGGCGTATATGAAGCCTACATAGCAACAGATGAGTGACTGCCCATATATCGCAATCGCAGATGTGGACTCCCACTTGACTTGAGAAGGAAAAAGGGAATTTAAGGTTTTCATACATCTGCCGGTACTAGAGATCACCCGCTCCATAGACTTCCTAAAGGTCTTCTTGCAGGTGTGTCCTTATAAAAAAAATGTAGTCCATCCAAATGTTGGTGGCCTAAGAAGTCACTGAGAGGCAGGATTCCATTCATAAACAGTGTGTTTCCCTCCATCAAGGAAAGGATTTGGTTATGTCATGGTCTAACCACACCATTTTGCCTCTAGCAAGCAAAGTCTTCAAACACCCCATGATGTGTGTAATGTCGATGATGGTTTGGAAGCATTGTAGTGGCATAGGCTCCTTCTGGATGTCGTCCGCGGACCTCACTGGAGCTCTAGATGAAAGAAAAAGGACAAAGAGGATCTGTATACTTAGCTGTCAACTGTTCCCAATTATCCAAAGACAATCCCATGTTTTGGAATTTTGCCTCTGAAAGTGACTCTGGTCATCTTCACAATGAGATGCCAGTTTTTTATTTATTTAGAGCGTTATTAAACCTTCCTTCCTTTGCCTGAGGCTGTTGTTGTTTTTCTTTGAAAGTTTTAATTCCTCGTTTTCAAGTGGGTCCCGCAGCGCTCTTCCCCCGCCCCCTGCACGGGTGCCTCCATCAGCTAATGAAGGCACCGGTGCACACTTGTGCCCGCAGTGTGACACACACAGCCCATTACCAGGCCACGCCCCTTCTCTCTGACCAGCCTATGGCTCCTCTGCCATCAGTATCCTCCCCCTGCAACCAGGAAGTATGGGGAACGGAGAATCACTTCGGGACCAGCGGCGGGGACTAGCGCAGCTGACATATCAATTATTTTTACTGTCTGTATGACCTAGGCTTTTTATGTTTATAGTTTTAAAATTGCAAATATATCATTTTGATAATGCAGCTTAAAAATATGCAGTGGTTACCTGAACTGGCATTGGGGTGGATGCAGAATTTCTGCTAGAAAAAAAGTCAGCTTTTCTGGAACTTTCAAGTTTGACTTGAAGCACAATGGTTGATGTATTAAGCTCGGAGTTTAAAAGTGGCACTAAACTCAGGAGTTAAATCTTAAAAATACATTCAAGTCCCTTAACTATTATCAACAATGTATCTTATTTGTGTATCACTCAGCTGTAGATCCTCCAATCATCTCTGAATTGGTGCTGACACTGTCCTTCCTTCTGGAGGGGGCTACTTTTGTCCCCCATGGTCCCTGTGTGTGTTGTAAAGTAGTCACCGCTCCAAGCTCGCTCCCAGGATGGACTACAATCTCTCACATTTAGTTTACAAATTTGTATTGAGATCATCCAGTTAGGGTTTATATTTTATTTATTGTGCCTGACAGCATGTATTCTCATAGATGTGGCTTGCTTGATTTTGACTTCACTGATGTCCATGTAAACAATCACCTAGACACCAGTTGTCACCGCTCAGGAAGAAGCCTTACCCCCAATAGATTCTTACCTGGTCATTCAGGTCATCCATGACAAGTGTCGAAATGTTCTCTGCGGGTTTCCTAATGGGGGATGGTTTCCGTTTAACTGCTCGGTTCACTTTGTCTCGTATTAGCTGAAGACAAGACAACAGGAGGAAAACATTCATGCTTGCTGATTTGCTGGTGCATGGAATTAAGTTATAGGTCTAATTTTTCATATAACAATTTAGAAACAAAAAAGGCAGAGTTTGATTTGATCATATATAAGAACGTTTGTGAACTTGATCAATTCTTGGTACTCAAGTCAGATGTTGAAAGGTTATTATCATTTGACCAACTTTTACAGGAAGATGGTATATCTAGAGCTGAACTCTGCGAAGGGTCTCAGCATACACTATATGGCCAAAAGTATGCTGACACCACTCGAGAAGATTGAGATCAGGTGTTTCCGGTGACGGGTACTGTTACAGCATACAAAGGCATTTTAGACAATTGTGAGCTTCCAGCCTTGTGGTAACAGTTTGGTGAAGGCCATTTTCTGTTCCAACATGACTGCCCCTGTGTACAAAGGCAGCTCTATAAAGACATGGCTTGATAAGTTTGGTGTGGAGGATCTCAAGTGTCCTGCACACAACCCTGACCTCATCCCTACTGAACAGCTTTGGGGTAAATTATTACGCCAATTTAGGGCCAGGTCTTCTAATCCCACATAGGTACCTGACCTCACAAATGCTCTTTTGGCTGAATGGGTACCAATCCCCACAGACACCCTCTTGTGAAAAGCCTTCCCAGAAGAGTGGAGGATGTTATAGCCACAAAGGGGGCAACTCCACATTAGTGCCCATGGTTTTGGACTGGCGTGTCCAACCACTCATATAGGTGTGACGGTCAGGTGTCCTCAAACTTTCAGCCAAACAGTGTACTATGTATCATACATAGGAAGTTTTGAGATTTTAATCACTTCTTGGAATTGAAGCCAGTAAAACCTAAGAGATTTCGAAAAGTCATTGGCACTTGACCTAAACAAAGAGCTGCAACTCTTACGAGAATTTGGTATCCCTAAGGTTAGACCTTGGTAAGGGTGTCAGTATATCTTTCGATAGGATTTTACCTCTGATTACGGACCCGTGTCAATGATCTTGTCGTGTCTTTGATATAAGCTTTTTAATGAGTACAGAAATTATGTCTGCTCTTTCTCTAAATACTGTACCTGCGTATTTATCTTCAGCTCATATGAGTTCCTGAAACCTTTTCACAAATCTCTTTAAACTTTGAAATGGATCTCCAGGCAAAAAGATAAATATATCACTTAAATATTTCAACTGTTTTATCTGCCAAATTATGAAGGATTTGTAATCATGATCAGCCAGTCTTGTAAATCAGCACAGCCAAGAAGTGGATGTTACTGCTTCCTAATTCAACCTTACAGATTTCTTGGTCTCCACCATCAGCCTACTCATTGGGAAACCAATAAGTATCAATTTATGGGAAATTGTATTATTTATTACAGGTATTTATATAGTGCCGACAATTTACAAAGCACTTTACATAGTTACACATTCACATCAATACCTGGTAAACATGCCTACTTATAAAGCACAAAGATGAAACCACATGGAGCTACCACCATCTTTGAGCAAAGTTCCCAGGTATGCATACCCGCTGTACTCATTATGAGGATCTCTCACCATCCCTGCACTGAGTTTCTTGGTCTGCACACCTACTGTGCCCATTATGAGGGCTTCCTACCATACCTGAGCTGAGTTCCTGGGTCTGCACACCTGCTGTACCCATCCCTGCACTGATCTCCCACCATCCCTGCACTCCCTTCCTGCTGGGGGGAGTGCAACAGAAATGAATGAAACCTGTCAAAGTCATATGACCAGCTCTCCTGCAATCACGGAGCTCACCCAAAACTCTGTGAGGAAGCGCAGTGCAATATAGAGCAATATCCTCTCTCTATTATATATTACCCTCTAAGAGGCTGGTTAAAAGCATTGTGCGTCCAAAAATGAGTTCCCAAGTTTTTGTAACTCTAGGATAGTGCTGTTAGCAATCAAAGGGTTTGCTGGGTGTGATCTGGGACCGTGCTCAGGTAACCTGTATAAAGCTTCAGAATTTTTGTACTTACCAATTCACAAAATTTGTCTAGAGCTCCATCTAAATTACTCATATTAATAAATCAGCTTGGGCTTATGTTGCATGTTACTTTTACTATAATTGTGACAACTAACAGAAGTTGTAAAATCACATTCCCTACTATTATAAAAAGATATTGTCAGGTATCAGAACCAGGTGGCATCTGGTGGGTGAAGTCAGCACCTGTTATCCTAAATCTCTCAGGTACTCCAATAGTGAGATTTCCCTGTCATAATTTCTGTGTGTGTGCTGGCTCCTCCTGTTACTTTTCCCATAATATAAAAAAAACACAAAAATACAACAGGGATGTTGGGAACCCCTCATGATGGGTACAGCAGGTGTGCAGACTCAGTAATTCAGCTCAGTGATAGTGTGAAGCCCTCATAATGGGTACAGCAGGTATGCAGACTTGGGAACTCGGCTCAGTGATGGTAGGATCCCTCATAATGAGTACAGCAGGTATGCAGACTTGGGAACTTGGCTCATTGATGGTAGGATCCCTCATAATGGGTACAGCAGGTGTGCAGGCCCAGGAACTCAGCTCAGGGATAGTAGGATCCCTCATAATGGCTACAGCAGGTGTGCAGGCCCAGGAACTCAGCTCAGGGATAGTAGGATCCCTCATAATGGGTACAACAGGTCTGCAGACCCAGGAACTCAGCTCAGGGATGGTAGGAAGCCCTCATAATGGGTACTGCAGGTGTGCAGACTTGGGAACTCAGCACAGGGATGGTGGGAGCTCCTCATAATGAAGCATAAATGGGGCACCGGCACTCCAAATGTTGAATAATGCGTCTTTTTCTGATAGAAGTACAGCATATCACATAAATGCTACATAAGTGCTCCTCATAATGGGCACAGCAGGTGTGAGGACTCAGGAAGTTAGCTTAGGGATCTCATCAATAGATTCCCCAAGAGACAGGAGAGGCCCTCATATGGATTAACTCTCCGGCATCACACAAAAAACTAAATATTAGGTGCACCGTCCTTTTAAATATCTTAGCGCTGACTAAGCCCCTGGAACGTAAGTATACTCTTTACATTTAGAAATTCCTGAAAGCCATTAGTAGCTCTTTGGAAGTTGGATTTACAGGCTATTTGCCAGTCTGGCTATTTGACAGGCGCGACTAGTGTAATCTCCTTTAACATAGAACAGCTACCGTCATGTACAACAATCTACTTTTTATTCTGCTGACATTAAACACAGTGATTCGGAGTTCTCATAAATGTGCTTCAAACATAAACTAATGTTACTGAGGCATAAAATACATTAACCAGGAATAGCTCTCAGAAACTGTTTATGGACCAAATTTGTTTCTATACAAGCCAATCTATTCTGCTGAGATGCCGCACTACAACCGTGACCCAACTGACCTAATTAGTAAGGTTTTTCTATTGTATATATTAACATATCCCATATGGCCCTATGTGTGGACACCTTACCATCACACTTATAAGAGCTTGTTGGACATCCCATTATTATGAAGTTGATTCTCCCAACCCAATGTGTGGGTATACCAGCCTCCACTCTTCTGGGAAGGCTTTCTACATGATTTTGGAGTGTGTCAGTGGGAATTTGTGCCCAATAATCCAAAGGATCATTGGTGAAGTCAGGTACTAATAATGGACGAGAAGACCTGGCTTGCAATCGGCTTTACATTTCATCCCACAGGAGGGCTGAGCTCGGAGCTCTGAGCTTGGTTTGAAGCTCTTTTGTAAAGAATATGGAAATCTGTTAGTTTGGGCACAAGTGCACTTCATAGATACTCTTCAAGCAAACATCTGGAGCTAATTTACCTTGCAAATAATTGTAATTTCTGTGCATCTTGTCTTTAGATATAACAGTCCTGCCCTGGTTTAGCAGGATACCAGATTATTCTGTGCAGCAGCTTATTTATTACAAAATCTGTCAAACCAGCTGCTAAAGAGCTCTATTACATCCTCACACTATGGACAAAACAATAAGCCATCACAGTCCCGACATAAGAATATACACTATATTACCAAAAGTATTGGGACGCCGGCCTTTACATGCACAAGAACTGTAATGGCATCCCAGTCTTAGTCCGTAGGGTTCAATATTGAGTTGACTCCGCCCTTTCCAGCTATAATAGCTTCAACTCTTCTGGGAAGGCGTCCACAAGGTTTAGGAGTGTGTCTATGGGAATGTTGGACCATTTGTGAGGTCAGGTACTGATGTTGGAGGAGAAGGCTGGGCTCGCAGTCTCCGCTCTAATTCATCCCAAAGGTGTTCTATCGGGTTGAGGTCAGGACTCTGTGCAGGCCAGTCAAGTTCCTCCACCCCAAACTCCCCCATCCATGTCTTTATGGACCTTGCTTTGTGCACTGGTGCGCAGTCATGTTGGAACAGGAAGGGGCCATCCCCAAACTGTTCCCACAAAGTTGGGAGCATGAAATTGTCCAAAATGTCTTGGTATGCTGATGCCTTAAGAGTTCCCTTCACTGGAACTAAGGGGCCAAGCCCAACCCCTGAAAAACAACCCCACACCATAATCCCCCTCCACTAAACTTTACACTTGGCACAATGCAGACAGACAGTTCTCCTGGCAACCGCCAAACCCAGACACGTCCCTCTGGATTGCCAGACAGAGAAGCATGATTGGTCACTCCAGAGAACACGTCTCCACTTCTCTAGAGTCCAGTGGCGGCGTGCTTTACACCACGGCATCCCACGCTTTGCATTGCACTTGGTGATGGAAGGCTTGGATGCAGCTGCTCGGCCATGGAAACCCATTCCATGAAGCTCTCTACGCACTGTTGTTGTGCCAATCTGAAGGTCACATGAAGTTTGGGGTCTGTAGCTATTGACTCTGCAGACAGTTGGCGACTTCTGCGCAGTGTGCACTTCAGCATGCGCTGACCCCCGCTCTGTCATTTTACGTGGCTTACCACTTCCTGGCTGAGTTGCTGTTGTTCCCAGTTGCTTCCACTTTGTTATAATACCACTAACAGTTGATCGCGGAATATTTAGTAGCAAGGAAATGTCACGGAACAGCTGAATCCAATGATTTGGAGGGGTGTCCCAATACTTTTGGTAATATAGTGTATAACAGATTCCTCCATCCACACTCATAAGAGTAAGCTGTTTTGCATTGATAGCGGCCGTGAGCAGATGGGCTGCAAGCTCCATTTGGCCAAGCATTTTTCAACCTGCTCCTTCGATCAGGGATGCTGGGCGGGAGGGTGCCGACAGGGGCCCCCACTGTATGAATTTTGGCCGGCCAGCCAGCCAAAATGTACACCAGGTATAACCTACTTCAATAAATCCTGATGAAGGGATTGTTTGTACGAGCCCCGATGCGTTGGATATTTCTATACTGCTGCCTCAACCCAACATTTAACATTCAATATTTAAGTATTTAGCTTATTAATATTAAAATATTAACATTTTTATATTAATAAGTATTTGGACTATTAAACGGAATGTGGCACAATCCTGCAGTTTATTTATTATGGTCATTTATAAATTGCCAACAATTTACACAGCACTTTACTCACTGCACATTCCCAACAGTCTCCGCCCTCTAGGAGCTTACAACCTAAGGTTCCTATTCCACATATATACACATACTCGGGCCAGGAGCTAATTAACCTACCAGCATGTCTCTGGAGTGTGGGAGAAATGCAAACTCCACGCAGATAGCATCCTGGCCAGGATTCAGACCAAGGGCCCCAGTGCTGCAAGGCAGAAGTATTACCTACTCAGGGGTCTATTCACAAAGCTGCCGAAGGATCTGGCCGTAGCTTCGGCCGATCCTTCGGCTGGCTACGGCCCCAGGACCCCTTCGGTTCAGGAGAACCGAGGGGGTGCTGTACGGGCTATTCACAATAGCCCGTACAGCTCCCGATCATGGCCGAGCAGCTCAGTCGAGCGCTGAGCCGTGCTGAAAGCCGAAGCTGGCCGAGCAGCCGGCCATTGGCCGGCCGATAGCCTGCTTCTGACAGCTGTGTGGAGCCAGCCACGGCTGATTTCAGCCCATGTACGGCTGAAATCAGCCGTACCAGCCTGAAGTGAATAGCCGAACAGTGTTCGGCTCACTTCACTTCTGATCGGTCATTCACTCGGCTGCCCTCGGTCACTGTCCCAGTTAAAGGCTAATTCCACCTTTAATATCACTCTCCATGTTACACCCATATTCAGGGTGTAACATGGAGCATGGTGCCATTCTGCAGGCCCCCTAGTAACCTGAATTGTGAGGTTCTTCCCTCCACTGACACATTAAGGGATATTTATCAATACTGGAGCAGGCAAAATCTGGAGCAGCTGTGCCTGGCAACCAATCAGCATCCACCTTTCATTTTCAAAGCTTAACAAACAGAAGAGAGAAGCTGATTGGTTGCCATAGGCAACTGCTCCAAATTTTGTCTGCTCCGGTTTTGATAAATTCCCCCGTGTATTTTATTAATTTGGCTCTGCCCACACAGCCATGTCCTTCACTCATAGAACCAATCACAGGATTTGTGAATGAAAAAGCTACATATTCCACCTGAACACATGGCAGAGGGACTCAATAGAGTGATGTCACTGAACTTGTAGTTCATTGATATCTTCCTCCAGCTCCTTAACTGAAGGTCTGTATAGACAAGTGCTGGAGGAACAGTCTGCAGGAGCCCGTGCATTGCACACATGATCCACTGATTTGAAATTCTTTGCAGGCTCCAATGCCCAAAAAAATATTAAATGCCCATTTATTAATTTGTTTTGCAAAAACATGTATATTCCTTTATGTATTTTGTATTATGGAGATTAGGGATGCACAGATACTCTTCGAGTACCAGTGCAGATACTTGGCATTTTCATGAGAACTACCGGGGTTGCAGAGGTTGCAGCTGGGACCGTGCTCTGGCGCTCCACCACTGTCCTGAAATCATTAGTCTGTATTGTTTTAGAAAAACTGTCACATGACAATAAACAAAAATGTATCAGTACTCGTACTTGTAAGTACTCGGCATGTACCAGTACTCGCAAAACTGGTATCGGTGCATCCCTTTATTTATATTTATAAAAACAAAATCATACATTAAAACAGAGATGTACAAATCCCAGGAGCTCCGTGTGCTCCTCACAAATGACAGCGGCCTCCTAACTTTTGAATTTTTCTCTAGTGTAGTCTTGGAGCTCAAAAATATCGGTACATGTACCCAGTACTGTACTTGGTATCTGTGCATCCCTAATGGAGATGTTTCTCAGCTCCATCTAGTGGCCATAATGTGGTGCGAACGTAAAAGTCAAATTTTCACAGAACGAACGGCTCTGCGAATGTTTAATAAATACACCGCTGAGATTTTGTCGCAGCACATGCCACTTTCTTATTACCCAATAATTGTTCTCCCAGGCTGATGTCTCTGTTACTGTTCAGGTCGGTGTTTTCATGTTCTTATCTGGACAATGGTTAGTACAATACTGAATTGTAAATGTGTCTGTTTATACTTTTTATATAATCACTCAAGTGCTCCATGAATGTGCTCCAAGCTAATACTTACCTCATACAGGTAATCCAATATCTCCAGAATGGTGAGGATACTGGCCCCGATAAACAGACCCATCTGTCCCCCGATGTCTCCTAATGGAGAATAAAAAAACATTCATCAATCTACGGCAAAAATATTTCTGAACTCAAATTATTACCACATGATTGGTAATTCTGCTAGCTTTCATTTTCTAATACCCACTAGAAATGTAGATGAGTGGCAGCAGAAAAAGACCAACAGGGATATTCACAAAATGGTGAAGAGTTTGGAGAAGGCAGGAGAAGGGAACAATCTAGGACAACATATCTGAACTGGAAAGTGAGCTGAATTGGATAATGTTTCCAAATCGGCTATTTTGGCCTAGACTGTTCCCTTCTCCGGCCTTCTCCAAACTCTTCACCCTTTTGTGAATAACCCTGCAAGTGGTCCATCTAATCTTCCCTTCTTTTTCAAACCTATTTGTCCGAGTATAGATCTATGTTTGTCCAAAGCATGGTAAATTCACTTGGGCGATGATTTATATCTCTCCTACCCATTGTATAGCTGGGCAAATGCCATTTACATGGATTTACCGCCAATAGATGGAGCCGAGGAGCATAGGAATTCCCTATGCTCCTCCTCTTGATCTAGTGGCAGTAATGCTGTGTGAATGGCATTCACCCAGCAATACACTGGGAGGAAGATTTAAAAATCAGCCCCTTACTGATGACTGGTGATGAGCCAAACATTACCTGGATTCAGTGGGCTTGGACGTTTGCCGAACCCAGCCAGAAATCCAGGTTCAGCAAATATCTAATCAAACCATACACAGGGACGCCTGTGTCCTAGCAACTGTTGTGAAGGCACTAATGACATCACAGTATCATAGGTTGTTCGGTGCACCCGCCTCTGTCCTAGCAACCAATGATGCGATGCCAATCAACCAACAGTTGCTAGGGAGCTGACCAAATCGTTCACCTATTGGAACAGCTTGGGTTTGGGTCAAACTCATGGTTAACCCAAACCCAAAGCTCATTTCTACTGATGGCTAACTCACTGACCTGTCTGGAAGTTTGTTTCAGGCATCAACTACTCTTTTGATAAAATAATACTTTCTAAGGTAAGTTTTGAACTTTCCCCCTGCTAGATTGAGGCTGTGGTCTTGATCATAGCTTCACATTGAAAACGCTACCCTTCTGAACCTTATTCATAGGGTATGACTCATACCCATCATGTCATTTAATGATTTCAGTCATTTGCCTTCTTCCCCTTCTTCCCCTAAGACTGTACATATGACGTTTCTGCCATCTCTTCTGATATATTTTAATCCTTTAGACCACATGTGTCAAACTCAAGGCCCAGGTGCCGATTCCGGCCCACCGGGCCATTTCCCAGACTTCTACTTTTAGATCTAGGTATTAAGTTATTTTCTAAAACCAGTGATAATCGAATGCAGAGGCAATTATGATAAAGATTAGATACATTTATATAGTCTTACAGGCCCTTTGAGGGCAACCATAATGTTGATGCGACCCTCGATTAAATTAAGTGTGACACCCCTGCTTTAGACCTTTTTCTATTTTTGATGCTTGTTTCTGGAATGATAAGAAAGAACTAGTCCAGAGACGGCCAACAATAATGGTGAAAGGTCTGAGGGATAAAACATATCAGGAGAGACTGAAGGATCTTCATATGTACAGTCTTGAGGAAATAAGGTAAAGGGCCCTGGTCTCGGGTTTCTGTAGGCAGCACCTCTACTTTATTTTCTCAAATGTTCATAAATATGACCCGCTGTCCCCCTATCACAGGGAATCTTGCAGCTTGCTGCGGCCGGTGATGTAGAACTTTGATTGCGCACCACTCACCGAGCAGACTGGCCAGGTCGTACGCTTTCTTCTGCTCGATCGTTCCATAGTTCAGAGCTTCAAAGAAGATATCCAGGACTAGGAAGTTGTCTCTGCCAGGGAAAGGAGTGTGAGAAGTTATTGCTGCTTATAATCCATGTGACGGCCAACGGTTGTTCACATACATACCATGCATTTGGATGGAGAGCAGAAAAGAGTAAGGGGCTGATATAAAAAGGCACCGAGGAGCATAAGCAACTCCTCTGCTCCTCTATCTCCATCTAGCAGCTGCAATGCTGTAAGAGCAGCATTTGCCTAGCTAAACACCTTTATACATTAGCCCCTACATGTATATTTAACATGCTTTTAAAGAAGATTGAAAGCCTACACATTTTTTTATTCTACATTTTCCAATGGCAGAGCTGTTTAGTGGGGATGCACTGAAATTAAATTTTTAGACCGAAACCAAAATTCAATAAAATTTGTCAGACAAACCGAAAAATACTTTTTTTTCAACCTTCTTAAAATTGAAAAAAAATATTTAATTATTTTATGTTTATTTATTCTTACTTTACAGTCGGGGGCTTTTGGTCTAAACAGACCACTTATATTTCCTTTTTAGAGTCCTAACTGCAGCCCCTAGTTATGAATGAACAGGAAGCCTCTATACTGAGTGCTCCTGTCCATTCATAAACTGAGGAGATAGTATCAGTTACTATATCCACAATCATGAATGAACAGGAAGTGATGATCGGCACTTCCTGTTCATTCATAACTGGGGACACATTAAGCATACTATGTGCTCAGTTATTTATAAAGACTCAGCGATCAGTTCTGATCGCTGAGTGCTTGCACCCTGCTCCATCCTGATTCCTCTGCCTGTCACAGGTGGCCGAGCAGGGCGGTGCAGGAGAAGAGCTCGGCCTCCTGTTACAGCTGAAAGCTGTCTCCTCCCCGTACCGCCCCTCTCGGCATCCTGACAGTTTCTCTCCTCCCCGTTGGGCGCTGGTCTGTGTCCCCTCCATCCCCGGTGTCTCTGCCGACACAGGTGGGGGAAAGCATTGGGGATCAGAGGGGACACATACCGGTGCCCAGTGGGGAGGAGAGAAGCTAGGGATGCACTGAATTTTTGGCCGTCTTGGTACTATTAGCATTTTGCCCATAGAGGCCGAAATTTCAGTGCATGCTTACTGTTTAGGTCTCTCCTCCAGAGAGAGTGGAGCCACCCAAAGTTAGAAGATGTGTTACTGGCCAGATCACCAGGTGGAAATGAAGGAAAAAAAAGCCCAACAAAAGAAAACTAATGCAGCCACTTCATTTTAGGATCAGTAAGCTGCAATATATTACATTTTGGGGGGAGGGGGGTTTAGATACACTTTACGTGATATCCTCTACTAATAAATCAATCCTGTTCTGTTACAAAAAGATGTAAAAAATTACATCACCATCTTAAAGTATATGTGAAGGCAAAAACCTTTTATCTAGTTTCTGACAGGGTGGGACAGAATCAGAACTTCTGTTGGGTTCATCCTGCTATCCAGGCTCTTTGTTAGAGAGATTTACCCTCACTTCCTGTCCTAGACAGAGTTGTGCTACACGGGGCTACCCCACTGACTGAAGTTCCTTTTTAGCTTTTGGAACACCAATTGCTGATCCATATGAGAATGCATGTAAGACGTCTGCTGCCACCCACTCTGGATAGCTTGCTGTCTAGTGAGATCTTGCAGCATTATCAACTTATAGAATTCAGATTATAGTAAACCAAGTGAACTTTCTGACTAGTACAGAGTTTCTTAGGTTCAATTGCCAATTCAATTATTGATTGTACTTTTTTTTTTAAAGGAGAACTTTGGGTTTAAGTCTTTTCCCCATAGTTCTCCTTAGGGTAACGGGAGGACACAAACTAGTGTCCTCCCGTCACCCTAGGCTCAGTATACCGCGAGCTACGGCGAGCGATATACTGAGCCTAGGGTGACACCATTTACTGGGGAAGACAGGTCTTTTAGCCATCCTGCAGTGTTGGATACCTGTACCAACCAGGAATCTGATACGTGGTGGATTTTTAAGATGTGCTATTGGACAGGAACATATACAGCATTTTTAGATTATTTTGGACCCTATAGTGACCGGGTCATTTTACATTTCTATGTTGAGTGGGCAGGACTCTTACCGGATATACGTCTCATTCCTGTTGTATTTTTTGGCCAGGTAGCGAGCGGATCCTTTATTCGGGATTCGAACCATGGAAATCTCTTTGTTGTATCGGGTCAGGTTACAGGGTGTGGGGCAGGTACATCTATCACTGGTATCTTCCACTGTGATATCTGTAAAGGGGGAAAGCACCCACTAAGTCAATGGTGATATAAAGATAGCCCGTACAGATCCGATCTCATGGATTTATGAGGACTGAACTGAGCAAGAGGACTGAGCATGAAAACATAAATAGGAGGGAAATATCACTATGCATACATTCCCCGTATGTTGGCATATTTTAAATAAATAATTCTTGGCAATTTGCTAATAGAGTGAATGTTTCAGAATTCAGCCATAATACAAAAAGGAAATTTCTCAAAACAGCAAACTGCAAATATTTCATGTTTGTGGACACAAGTCCACCATTACCATCTGCTTTATTAGAGTAATTAAACGTTAGCGTCCTACAGAACGCATAAACGGGTGATTCGTTCGTACCTAGTGTGTTGTCAGCACACTCATTGTAGTCCTTGGGAGAACAGATTTTTTCATTTCCTGTAGAAATAAGATAAAATAACTATTAGAAATAAATCAGAGTCAACATTTTCAGAAACCTATTTAAAGTCCAGCTCCAGACTACTATGGGATCCACCCCTCCCAGGTCACCCACCCCTTCCTGCCACCATTATCCATGAAGGCTCCTCCAGCAGTACTTTTTCATATAACTACCTTTTGGCCATGTGACATGCAGGGTCTTCAACAGATCTTCTCCATGGTCGGGCGGTCCTCAATGAACACTGATATGTTGACATCAGTGGAACCCTCTGCATTATCATATGCAAGTACAGGGCACTAAGGTGATGCCCCCTTGGGTGAGGTGGGTCTATAACACCCTGCACTCATAGGGTGCCCTCAGCCTCATGGGTTGAGGATATGTAGGGGTGGAAAGTATCTACTACAAGGGATAGCACAGGAGAGGAGGTCAGCTGCTTTTTTATTTTAAAGTGCGTATAATAGTGAAAGTCTTTAAATGAGTTCCTCTGTTGCGGCTAACTCTCCTACAGGGGCTGACTGGCAACTTTTAGCCCAGGGGGCAAGTACAACCTAGAGGCCCATGGTGCAGCAACTTGGCCTCACTCCCGCTCTGCCTCTTCCCCCCGCCTTCTCCTTGCCCGTCTGCCACTTTTGCCATCCATGTAATGGTAGTGTGAATGGTCGGGTGATGTGAGGCAGGGAGGAGGTGCGGTGAGAGGAAGCTTGGACCGGTGGAAGTAAAAAAGAAAAACAAAAAAAAAAAGATAGTGTGGTGTGCAATATAGTGAAATGGAAAGTGTAAAATTATACAGCAATGAATGCAGAATGGCACCGGCTATAGAGGACTACAAAACCCAGCAACAGCACATTACACAGACTCCTATGTGTTCCTTCTAAATATATATTTATGTAATTTTCATTATTGTAAAGCAAAAACCTGGAGATCCTGCCATTTGCCATCTCCTCTTTCAGCTTTCTGACCATGCTAAGCAGGGAAGCAGATTTGTGCTAGTGTGTGTTCAATTTGCATCCCACAGCTGAGCTACCTATCAAGGCTACAGGACACTGTGCTGACACATGGTGTGCCTATAGTCCCGTAGCTAGCTTGGTTGACACATCCTCTGTCCAACGCTGCTCAGTATGACTGACAGCAGTTCTTAGCAGGAACCTCACTGTTTGCACAGAAGTTGCACCTAGTGAATGTAACCATGCTCCCTGCACATGTAACAATGCCCCAGTGCAGTCACGTGACCACTAAATAATAGTGTAAATTCTGGTAAATAACATCTGTTTCTATAACTATTGCTTAGGGGCAGGGCCGTATTTCCCCCAAGGCCTGGCCTTGGGGCAGCAGGAAGTAGAGGGGAAGCAGGGGTGTGGAATTCCTATCTCCCGATGCCCGGGACATGCAGTTCAGGGCGCCGGGTGGGTAGTTGTTTTCTGCTTTGGGCAAGCAGAGCTAAATGTACAGCGGGGAAGCCACCTGTTGTTTTTTACTAGTGATCCCCACGCCAAGATCACTTATAAGCAGCCTGCAGGTCTGCCATTCTCCATGGAGTGGGGTTTGGCGCGTAGTGGGGTGCATTGGGGAACCTGGCCTTGGGGCAAGCAGCAGAGAGAGTAACTCCAGCTCTGCTTAGGGGCTCATCTATAAACCTTCAGCCCAGGGTAAAACAGGGTGAATTCCATTTGCATAGCATTACCGCTGCAGAGGAAATCCCTATGCTCCTTGGCGTGGTAATGCAGTGCTCTTATTGAGCCCACTGGTGTAACGCATTGTAATGTTTTCTTTATATGATGGAGTGCTTTCTATTTCATGACTTCACATTTATTTTTGGCATATACATAGCGCCAACAATTTACAGAGCACTTTACATCAGTCCCTTCCCTTAAGGAGCTTACAATCTAAGGCCCCTAGCTCACATGCATACATACAGGGCCAATTTAGACAGGAGCCAATTAACCTTCCAGCATGTCTTTGGAGTGTGGGAGGAAACCAGAGTACCCAGAGCAAACCCCACACAAGCACAGGAAGGACATGCAACCTCCTTGCAGATAGTGATTCGAATCAGTGACCCCCCGTGCTGCAAAGCAGAAGCGCTAACCACAACGCCACTGTGCTGCCCATATGTAAGCAGTCAATTCCTGCTAGCGGACTATTACAAAAAAATTGCCCAGAGTTGGTCTTTTGTTCTCAGCATCTCAGAAACAGAGATCTCAGCGTAGGGCCACACGGGTGATTTTATTAATCTCGGCACCAGAAAAAGCCCAATACAAAAATCGCTCTTGTGCTACTGCAGGAAATTGCTAGATGTTTGTTAGGAGATTTATCCCATGAGATTGACCCCCTGGGATATACGTGGAAAATACGCCCAAGAGTCTCTTAAATGAGCAACTGTTGGGCGATTAATCTCTTGCTCCTATTAAAGTCTACAGAAGAGAGGAGATTAACCGTTAATAGCTTCTGCTACGTGACTAAATTGCGGCATTGTGATACAGAAGGATCAATCTCATGAGATGCTGGTAGCGCGATTGTTCCTCAGCACTTACTTTTGGACATAAGTGCAACGATAAGGGTGACAACGCTTTGGCTGCAGACTGACCCTCCAAGGCAGGGTTATCAACCTGAAACAGGGGGGATAAGGCCTCAACCAAAAAACATTTCTGCAGTCCAGCAAGGCAAACTCAACCAAATATGTAATTACTGATGCCAAATGCCTAAAACCAAACTTAAACCTTATTAATTACAGCCTAAATGGGCATAACCTGGGACAAAGTACTCTGGTAATACAAATGGCATTATTCTAGGGAAAGTTGTCCTGTGCTTGATGAGCAAACATTACCACCCACTTGCCCAGACAAAAACGACAGAGGGTGCCCACTCCAAGTACCTGGCATATGCACCATACGGCAGTTGCACTTCCTCACCACCGATTCCTTCTCACACTGTAGCCGACAGGCGGAAATGCTGTAGGTGCTGTAACCGGTCAGGAATTCTTCTCCTGGAATGCTGGCTCTGCAGTTACCCCAAGGCTGGGGCAGGTATGTCAGCTGTGGCACAAATGCAGATTTGTATTATTAAATGTCAATTACTTCCTCTTTAATTTTTTACGGAACTAAAGAATATGCCTGTGAAGGTTCTCATGTATCCAGGTCTTGGTGTAGTTAGTAATAGTAGTAGTTGGTCACATTCCACTGGATTTGTTCTGTAATGTTGAAGATGTGTCATAGCATCTGTAAACCTTTTCTTCAGTTCTAATGTGTGTCAGGAACATACACCAGTATTTAAATTTCCACTGGCTGGTACAGATTGTTGCAGGGTGTTAGGTCCCTTAAGGCTACTTACCACCCCTTGGATTCTAGGCAGCCTGTCTGTCAAACATTGTCCCCTTTCTTGGGTTATTTCAAAAGCAGGTGGAATGGAAATGAGAGTTTCCAATGGAGCATGCGGCTGGGTCCCCCATCACAAAGTGCCATGAATCATGAATCCTGAGAACCCATTTGGAAGGAAATTTCCTAAAGAATGAGAGAAGTGCAAGCCAGGGAGATAGTTCACCTTGATCTCGGGAGATAATTAAAAGAGAACTGAATTTTTTTCTTGCTTTAGTCCTCTTTTGGGTCAAAGGAGTACATTTAGGAGTGCTCCCATTGTATAGGCTATTTCCCCCCCAACCAGGCTGCTTAGAACGCAAGGAGCTGGAACTGACCTAACACCCTGTAACATTCTGCTTTGACACATTCCTTGGTGATTGGTTGGAGGTGTCTGTGCTACTTGTGTTGATATAAATTCTTGGGGTATGTTCCTGGTATGGTGGGTGTATAAATAGTGGGGTATGTTCCTGGTATGGTGGGTGTATAAATATTGGGGTAAGTTCCTGGTATGGTGGTGGATATAAATGTTGGGGTATGTTCCTGGTATGGTGGGGGTATAAATGTTGGACTATGTTCCTGGTATGGTGGTGATATAAATGTTATGTGATGGTGGGGGTATAAATGTTGGGCTATGTTCCTGGTATGGTGGTGATATAAATGTTGGGGTATGTTCCTTGTATGGTGGGGGTATAAATGTTGGACTATGTTCCTGGTATGGTGGTGGATATAAATGTTGGGGTATGTTCCTAGTATGGTGGGGGTATAAATGTTGGACTATGTTCCTGGTATGGTGGAGGTATAAATATTTCCACATGTTCCTGGTATGATGGGAGTATGAATGTTGGGGTATGTTCCTGGTATGGTGGGAGTATGAATGTTGGGTATGTTCCTGGTATGGTGGGGGTATAAATGTAGGTGTGTGGTCCTGGTATGGTGGGAGTATTGTTAGTGCGGTAAGCTCCTGGTATGATGGGAGTATGAATGTTGGGGTGTGTTCCTGGTATGGTGGGTGTATAAATAGTGAGGTATGTTCCTGGTATGATGGGAGTATGAATGTTGGGGTATGTTCCTGGTATGGGGGGGGTATAAATAGTGGGGTATGTTCCTGGTATGGTGGGGGTATAAATGTTGGGGTATGTTCCTGGTATGGTGGGTGTATAAATAGTGAGGTATGTTCCTGGTATGATGGGAGTATGAATGTTGGGGTATGTTCCTGGTATGGTGGGTGTATAAATAGTGGGGTATGTTCCTGGTATGATGGGAGTATGAATGTTGGGGTATGTTCCTGGTATGGTGGGTGTATAAATAGTGGGGTATGTTACTGGTATGGTGGGGTATAAATGTTGGGGTATGTTCCTGACACTCATTAGAACTGAATACTTGTCTTGGAGAAGCTACGAAATGTCTTCAAACATTACAGAACAAATCCAGTTGAATTTGACCAACTACTACTCGCTATAAAAGAGAAAACAACCCAGGCACAAATCTAAAAAACACCTTTTAGTTCCCTTGTGTATTCCTTCAAGAGTCATGATTTCCAATTTAATATAGCGGGTGTAATCATCCAGAGTCTGACTTCATATTAAGTTTCCACATGCCAGCTGGGGCTTGAAATCAGACTTTCAATGATAGTGCCTGCTGTGTAAATCAATAGACAGGAGGTGGGAGGAAATGGTAGGATGGGTTACAGAAGAGCAGGAAGGGGGGGCGGAGCAGTGACACAGACTTTGTAGAACTTCAGACTCTTAAGAAGTTTCTTCCCCTTTATGCAATGTAGCATAGCAGGGCTGGCAATATACGTGGTGTTACTTTACAAATCTTGTAGCAGATTGCTCAGCTCCTATAAACTTGTTTTAATTGTATACCCAGAGTAGCTCTTTAAGTCAAATGAATTGATTGGGTTATTTATTCTTTGTAAAGCACTAAGCACTTTATCTACTGCTTATGCTGTCTAGGTACATTCCCAAGGCAGTCAAGTTCATGGCACCGAGGGTGTATTTAACATCTTGGCAAATAAATAAATATCTGCCTGGGGCGATATTGATTTCTTCATGGCAAACATATCAATATGTTCCTTATTTGTCTGCAATTGTTCCGTCTCCATTAAGCAAAAGGATCTACCTTTAAAAGGCAGGCAGATCTAGGCCCATTCACATGGTTTAGTAGACGGCCAGAAAGATAAAGGTGAAGAATGCAAATCAAGAAACTCGACAAATCCTCAGCAAATTGTCCTCAGCAAATCCAAAAAAAGCAACCATCATTTATTGAACCTTACAGTAGATCTAAACCCTACATGGATGACATTACATTGGCTAAAGCACTGCGTATCATACACAACTGCCTCTTTTTCGCCTATAAAATACTATTTTAACATGTCGGCAGGCTTTGACTATAGGCAGTCCTATAGCAATGTTTTGGAAAATAGAGTTAGCTGGCCTATGGGGCACCATGTCCCATTTTTCAAAATGACGTACAGCATTACCTAAAGCATGCCTGTAGGCTCTGACCATCTCCTATAGCATGCTTGTAGGCTCCGACCATCTCCTATAGCATGCTTATAGACTCTGACCATCTCCAATAGTATGTTTTTAGGCTCCGACCATCTCCTATAGAATGCTTATAGACTCTGACCATCTCCTATAGTATGCTTGTAGACTCTGACCATCTCCTATAGTATGCTTGTAGACTCTGACCATCTCCTACAGCATGCTTGTAGGCTCTGACCATCTCTTAAAACATGTTTGTAGGCTCCGACCATTTCCTATAGCATGCTTGTAGGCCCTGGTCATCTCCTAAGCATGCTTTTAGGCTCTGACCATCTCCTATAGTATGCTTGTAGACTCTGACCATCTCCTACAGCATGCTTGTAGGCTCTGACCATCTCTTAAAACATGTTTGTAGGCTCCGACCATTTCCTATAGCATGCTTGTAGGCCCTGGTCATCTCCTAAGCATGCTTTTAGGCTCTGACCATCTCCTATAGCATGCTTGTAGGCTCTGACTATCTTCTATAGCACGCTTGTAGGCTCTGACCATCTCCAATAGCATGCTTGTAGGCTCTGGCCATCTCCAATAGCATGCTTGTAGGCTCTGGCCATCTCCTATAGCATGCCTAGAGGCTCTGACCATCTCCAACAGCATGCCTGTAGGCTCTTACCATTTCCTAAAGCATGGTTGTAGGCTCCGACCATCTCCTATAGCATGCTTGTAGACTCTGACCATCTCCTATAGCATGCTTGTAGGCCCTGGTCATCTCCTAAGCAAGCTTATAGGCTCTGACCATCTCCCATAGAATGCTTGTAGGCTCTCACTATCTTCTATAGCATGCTTGTAGGCTCTGGTCATCTCCAACACCATGCTGCTAGGCTCTGACCATCTCCTATAGCATGCTTGTAGGCTCTGACCATCTCCAATAGCATGCTTGTGGGCTCTGGCCATCTCCAACACCATGCTGCTAGGCTCTGACCATCTCCTTTAGCATGCTTGTAGGCTCTGACCATCTCCTGCTGCCTGTCTGCAGTTTTGATGATCCAATGATTTTGGCTGTACTCTACACAGCAAATAATGTTTTGTGCCAGTTTTGAGTCCATATTTCTACCCATTATGTTTAGGCCCTGAAGAAGGGCGAGCTCCTTAAGCCCCCAAAACGCATTGGCTGTTCTGTGTTGTTGTTTGTGAACTCATTCTATTATTAAACGTTTTTGGACTCTCGTACTGTCTTGTTTGGCACTCCAATTGGACTTTATATATACATGTATCTGCAATTCTGGGTTCCCTTGTCTATGGGACATCCTCTGTTTGTTGAACGCTGCCTTACTGGAGCTATTATGCTTTCTCACTTTGTGACTGATCTTGTAAATATATAAATCCGGTGCCTCATCTCTACTTCCATGTCTGCAGTCTTTGACTGCTTTATTTCTGTAGCATTGCGCTCGCTGAATATTATGTGCGGCCCTTTGGTGGTGTCGGAGGCCACACCTGAGGCCCTTATATCAAGTAAGCTGACCGCCACTGGTCTAGACCATGACCATCTCTACTAGTAATAGTTTAGCACTTTTTGCAGCCTTTTCTTTATGAATAGATACAACGGTCCTACCCTCTGCTCCTGACACGAGACAAAGGTCTGGAATCCAGGGGAAACACCAAACCCGAGCTGGTGAATGTATGGTGGCTCGTCCTGGCTGTGTATCTGCACCCTGATCCCAGCCTCGAATGATGTTTCATCTGCAGAGGAGAGAGAGAAAGAGAGAGACGGCAGATGGTCACAGTGCTAATTGTATCTGTCTTGTGGTTGCATTTAGGATTCTAATGTTTATCAGACACTCTTGGACAATTTCTGTTGCTGTAATTAGTGTCTCTGGTTCGACTTGTACTGTGCTAAATTATTCATCGGGAATGGTGCTGATCCAAGTGTTAACCCGTTATGATATGCGAATACTGTATATCTGGTTTGTATTCCGGGGTACCATGCTAATTGCTCAAATATTATGACTTTTTTCTTACAATTTATCATGATTTGACTATAACATGTGTTCATGCAATGGCACCACACCCAACCTGACCTATCAAAGTATACAGTGTGATGGCACCCAAGGATACATACAGACAGGGCCGGATTTCCCACAAGTCCACAGAGGCCTGGCCTCGGGGCAGCAGGGAGTAGAGGGGCAGCAGGGGTGTGGAATTCCTATCACTCGATGCCCGGGACATGCAGTTCCGGGCGTCGGGCGGGTTATTTTCTTCTACATTTAGTTCTGCTTTGGGCCAGCAGCAGGGCTAAATGTAGAGCGGGGAAGCTGCAGCTCATTTTGTGCAAGTGATCTCAGCGATGCTCATCTGTCCCCCCCGCCACCCCCCTCTTTATGCTCCACCCGCTGCCTCTCCCTCTGACCTGGGACCACGGCAAGGTAGTTCAGGATGGAGAGTGGGGAGCAGAGCGGAGAATGTCTGTTAAATAAAGAGAACCTGTCAGCTCCAAATGCTATCACACAGGGACTTGTTAGCGAAGTTAAGCGGGGAAAAATAAAAAATAAAAAAATAAATTGATAAAAAGTAAAAAATAAAAATGTTAAAAAGTTAAAGATAATTAGAAACAATAATTAAAAAAAATAAAAAAGTGTTAAAAAATTATAAAATAAAATTATAAAAAAGTAAAAAGTAAAAAATAATAAGAAATTAAAATGTAAAAAAAAATTAAAATGAAAAAAAAAGTAAAAAAAGAAAAAAAAAAATTAAAACCAACCCTGCCACCCTGCTATCTTGTTGCTATTCTCCATTGGAGGGGTTGGCGTGTAGGGGGGCGCATTGAGGAACCTGGCCTTGGGGCAGCAGAGAGAGTAAATCCAGCCCTGCATACAGATTATGATTGCACCACTCCAGATTGCCACAGAGACCATTATCCCACATTTACATTTATGTAGCGCATGACCGCATGCAAAATCCTGTGTTTTTTGCGCATGTTCATAAAACACGCAGGAAGCGTGTTTCATGCTTTTGGTGCCTTTCACTGTCAATGGCACCCCAAATACGCCAAGCAGGATGTGCATTTTTCGCAGCGAAAGACCCAATAAACACGCAGATGAAAGACACGCGAAGCTCTGAGCTCCAAACAGTGCACGAGCTTCTATGCTGTGATTGTTGGTCACTGGGGAAGCCCATTGAAATGAACAGGCTTGACCTATGCGTGACATAGATGCAAAAGCCCTCATAAATGTGACACCTGATGTCACACTTCGCATTCACAAGTCTGCAAGGGCGGCTTATATAAAATTATATAGTCATAACATGCAGTTTCATTGGATTTTGAAAACCTATAAGGAATCGGGGGCTGCCATTGCTGACGTGATTTGGGAAATGCTACTTTCCTGATGTCTCTGGCTTCGATACCTTTTGGCCTCACTCACACACAACGCGAGCAAAATTGTATTTTGCGTATATACGAGCGTATGTGCATATATGCGTGCACTATTTGCATTCCCAGAATGCATAATTCCTAACAGAAATGTTAATGAACTGTACGCACGTACACTCCCGTATGTACGCGTAAACATGCCAATGCGCGTAAGAAACGCATAAATACGCTGCCTGGACGCATCTTGGTACCGTTCTGTTTTTGCGCATGTTTATGCTACGCAAATATACGGCTCCATACGCGGCTATGTGTATAGAGCCATTTATTTGCATATGTTGCATATGGTACAATACGCACGAACGCGCGTGTATGCGCGGCAGTGTGAATGAGGCCTTTGAGTCACTGACCCGACCCAGGACATGGCAGGTAAAGTCAGATCAAAGTCTGCGTGTAAAACTTCTGAAGCCATTAGCTTAGTATGACATCCAGGAAACTAACATTAGTGGTGGTTCATGTTCAGGGTAGGGGGCGCGCGTGGTGCACGCTAATGGGAGTCTCTGGCCGGCGTCCTGCCCAGCTCACTGATGTCTCTGGTTGTCAGGAGCAGGACGGGAGGCCAGCTAGAGCTTCTCAGTTTCCTAATAGCTGGGAGGGGAGATGTGTGTGGCTCTTACACATGCCCCTGACCAGCTCTGAGCAACCTGAGACATTGTGGTCATAAAGGGGGCAGGCACACTGCAAACATAGCCCCCCCACGTGACCCAAACAGATACTGCCGAGGCAATTCCCTCAGGCCGACTCATTACAGGGGGGTAGGCACACTGCAAACATTGCCCCTCCCACGTGACCCAAACAGATACTGCCAAGGCAATTCCCTCAGGCTGACTCATTACAGGCGGGGCAGGCACACTGTAAACATTGCCCCTCCCACGTGACCCAAGCAGATACCGCCTGAGGCAATTCCCTCAGGCTGACTCATTACAGGCGGGGCAGGCACACTGCAAACACTGCCACCCCCACGTGACCCAAGCAGATCCCGCCTGAGGCAATACCCTCAGGCTGACTCATTACAGGCGGGGCAGGCACACTGCAAACACTGCCACCCCCACGTGACCCAAGCAGATCCCGCCTGAGGCAATACCCTCAGGCTGACTCATTACAGGCGGGGCAGGCACACTGCAAACACTGCCACCCCCACGTGACCCAAGCAGATCCCGCCTGAGGCAATACCCTCAGGCTGACTCATTACAGGCGGGGCAGGCACACTGCAAACACTGCCACCCCCACGTGACCCAAGCAGATCCCGCCTGAGGCAATACCCTCAGGCTGACTCATTACAGGCGGGGCAGGCACACTGCAAACACTGCCACCCCCACGTGACCCAAGCAGATCCCGCCTGAGGCAATACCCTCAGGCTGACTCATTACAGGCGGGGCAGGCACACTGCAAACATTGCCCCTCCCACGTGACCCAAACAGATGCCGTCTGAGGCAATTCCCTCAGGCTGAGTCATTACAGGGATGGCCTTGGATTGTACGAGGGTTAGATTAAATTACTGTGGTATAGTGCTGTAATCTCTGTGGTGCAGGGGGTAATTGGCATGGCAGGCAGATAAAGTAACTGCAAGGAATTGCGCTAATTACTTTGTCAGGTGGATTTTGCAAACTCTAAAAAAGATCATACAAGAGTATGTAACCATCATATCACCTGTTGCCAAATTCATTGCAGTACTGTGTTGTCTTTAAAGAGAACCCGTCACAAATGGGCATGCGTTTACGAATTCTCCATTCCCCCACTATTTGCCTATACAAGTGAAGGAGAGGTCCTGTTTGTAAACTCCAAGTTGATCTCATTAGAGCTTACACAGGGGCTAAAGATGGTTTCCCGAGCCTCATGTGACACTGCTGGGTCAATGGACCACTTGAGCACAAACTGCTGCATTGTGGCAGGAAAGGGAGAGAGGATGTTTCCCCATATCTGGAAGGACCAGGTATTTCTATTCATTTCAGACAGATAAATGGAGCAGCAAGGGAGCAAAGTGAAGGTGAGTATATGCAGGGGGAAGGGTGGGCATTTAAAGGGATGTGTCAGACCTCTGCATTGTCACCCCCAGGGCCGGATTTCCCACAAGGCCAACCGAGCCCCGGCCTCGGGGCAGCAGGGAGTAGAGCGGCAGCTGTTGTGTGGAATTCCTATCCCCCAACACCCAGGATATGCAGTTCCGGGCGCCAGGCGGGTAGTTGTTTTCTACATTTAGCCCTGGTTTGGGCACGCAGAGCTAAATGTACAGTGGGGAAGCTGCCGCTTGTTATGTACAAGTGATCTCGGCGATGTCGTCGAGATCACTTGCATGCAGCCTGCACACAGGGGGGCACAATGAGTAACCTGGCCTTGGGGCAGCACAGAGAGTAAAGCCGGCCCTGGTCACCCCTGCTTCCACACAAAGTGGAGAGCTGTGCTTAATGTTTTTTTTAAATATTTTACCCGCACATAAACTTTATTTGTATTGCATTTGATGCCTTTTATACTGGAATATGAGAAGTGCAGTGTATACCGTGTACACAACAGGTACATTGGGTGCAGCTCTGCATTCTACCCATAGGACTTGGTACTCACTGGTCTCTCTCCAGATAGGCAGGTATTCCTCCTGTTGAATGTCAAGCATTATCTCCAGTCCATTTCCCATGCCACCCTGCCGGGTCACTTTGGGGTTGTTTTTGTTGGCGTTGAAGGTGTAGCATTTCCCGTATCTGGTATACACCTGTGAACAAGCAGAGAACACTGTGAGAACAATACAGGCAGTACACAGGCTTCTGCAAACGACCATGCCTCAAAGCTACGGCTGCTAATATCTCTATATTATTAATGTTACCGGCATCAAACCTCATTCAGCCAGCCATATAAAAAACATTAAACACAATGGACCTCACAATATACTGCAACAGCACCTCTTTGTGCTGCCCTCAACACCCCATCTGGTTTCTGAACCTGCTCGAGGGAAAAACGGATTACCGTAGCTGCTATTGAGGAAGCAGAAATATCAAATGTAAAGCCCTTTCATATAAAAAGACAATTTTCCTAAAAAAAGGAACCTGGAGGATGTCAGAAATTTTAAAAGTAACAGCCAGGGGAGCATGGATGACATACATTTGGTGTGTGTGTGTGGGGTGAACTAAGGTGACATGCATGAAGTACTCTTTTCTATAAATAGGAACAGATGCTGCTAACATCAAAGTTTGCATTTAAGTATCCAGGCGTACACTGGACCTATAATACATAGAGAGAACATGTAAAAAAAGACTCATAAAAACACAAAAATAGTACACATGGAGATCAGATAATAACTTTGTACATCTTCTACCAACATCTATGTACATCTTCCACCAAAGTCTCTGTACATCTTCTACCAATAACTATGTACATCTTCTACCAACATCTATGTACATCTTTCACCAAAGTCTCTGTACATCTTCTACCAATAACTATGTACATCTTCCACCATTATCTATGTACATCTTCTACCAATGTCTTTGTACATCTTCTACCAATAACTGTGTACATCTTCTACCAAAGTCTATGTACATCTTCTGCAAACATCTCTGTACATCTTCTACCAATAACTATGTTCATCTTCTACCATCATCTATGTACATCTTCTACCAATCACTATGTACATCTTCTACCATCATCTATGTACATCTTCTACCAATGTCTATGTACATCTTCTACCAATGTCTATGTACATCTTCTACCAATGTCTATGTACATCTTCTATCATCTATGTACATCTTTTACCAATCACTATGTACATCTTCTACCAATGTCTATGTACATCTTCTACCAATGTCTATGTACATCTTCTATCATCTATGTACATCTTTTACCAATCACTATGTACATCTTCTACCAATGTCTATGTACATCTTCTACCAATGTATATGTACATCATCTACCAAGGTCTATGTACATCTTCTACCAAGGTCTATGTACATCTTCTACCAATGTATATGTACATCCTCTACCAATGTCTATGTACATCTTCTACCAATGTCTATGTACATCCTCTACCAATGTCTATGTACATCCTCTACCAATGTCTATGTACATCCTCTACCAATGTCTATGTACATCTTTTACCAAAGTCTATGTACATCTTCTACCATTAACTATGTACATCTTCTGCCAACATCTCTGCCCATCTTCTACCAACATCCATGTGCATCTTCTACCAATAACTATGTACATCTTTTACCAATGTCTATGTACATCTTCTACCAATGTCTATGTACAGCTTCCAACCATCTTTCATAATGAGCACCAAAACGTTGCTTATATAACATCTAGGGTGCATTGATGCCATAGGGAGATAGGCAGAAACTGTAGACATCATAGTTGCAGTAAGAGACATGAAAGTGACAAGACACAGAGTATTTCTTTATGTTAAACTCACAGGGGTAAAATCTTCTTCTGTACAATTTTTCCCGCTATAATGGCAATGGATAAGCATGCCATCTAGTTTGCTCCCCTTGGCACTAGGCAGGTCAGCGCGAAGCTGCTTGCTTTGAGGGCGAGATGAAGAAAAGTAATAGGGATGAGTGACCGGCTGCTTGACCCTACAGAGGGTCACAGATGGAAAGTTGAGCTGTCTGGCCCAAACCATCTTGATGTTGGTGTGCATGGGATAGGACAAAAGGTAGAAGAAGTGCTCTGTTGACCAAATGAAGAACAGAATGAGGGAGGCAGTGAAGCCTGCCGACCAGAGGAGGCGGTGGAACGTGGAGAACACGGACCTCAAGTGGCTCAGCCCGTGGAAGTTGGTGGTGCTCAAGAATTTATCTGTCGATGCAGCGGCGGTGCCCTTCTCCATCATGAAGGTCCTACAGAAGTTCAGCTACAGAGGAAGAGAACTGGTGAGACGGGCTTGTCCTCACTGGATGAAGTTCAGAATACCAACTATAAATTGGAGAAGGGATATAGGATGTAGCGTCGATACTAATAGACGGCGAACGCAGCTATCTCTGCAGTTATTAGCTGAAATCGTGTTCATCTGAATGGAGATTACCGGATATTATCAGCTCCCAATCCACACGTCACTGTCTAGATCTGTCCCAGGAGGGAGTAAGACTGGGTAGGCTCCAAGCACTTTGTGCAGCAGGGTAATGGCTCGGTGGAAAGTGCAAATGTATCTACAGATAAAGTGAACCAAGCACTGAGCAAATTTTAAAGGGAACACCCAGCAAATAAAAAAAAACTATACCAGTGTCAGGTTTTGAGTGCTTTGAATTCCTACCTTGTCATTGAATGCTGCAGCAATGTGGAATACTGTTTCAAATAGAAAAGGAAAGAGTTCATCTCACTATCAGACTATTTTTTGCTGCCTGTCACAGGTAGAGCGATTTCCCTTAACTTACTGTCCTGGAGAAACAACAGGAAATCAGGGGAAATCTCTCAAAAGACGGAATTACCACCTTAGAGAGTGGTGTTTGGTAGTCAATAGTCACCAAGACCGAGTCATAGAGTAGGGAAGAGGTAAACTCCCAATCAAGGTATTGTTTGCTGCCTGTTTCCTGTTGGAGATTGCCCTTCACTTCCTGCCCTAGCGACGTAACAGGAAATAAGGTGAAATCTCTCCAAAGAACAGAATTACCAAGTTAAAGAGTTGTCACAGAAACAGGTCTCCCCACTGGAGGATTTTCCCTCACTTCTTGGTCTGTTGACAACTCAGAATTGGTGGATACCCCCTCACTTTCTGTTTCGGAGTCAATTACCACGGGACAAAGAGAAGGGGTGAATCTCCGCAATGGTGACACAGCTATTCTTGGAATTCCCACCTTAAAGAGTGGTATTTTGGGAGTCAGTGGTCACCAAGATTGATTGTAGAGCAGGTTAGAGGTAAACTCCCAATAAGGGTATTTTTTGCTGCCTGGGAGATTACCCTTCACTTCCTGTCCTGGAAAGGCCAAGGGATGTCATAGAACAATTGTCCCCATTGAAGGATTTCCTCTCCCCTCTTGCTCTGATGAGAACCCAAAAAATTTGGATTCCCTCTCACGTTCTGTTTTAGGGTCAATGGTCACAGGACAAAGAGAAGGAGTGAATCTCCCGAATGGGGACACAGCTATAAAAACTTGACTAAGTGTCTAACCCCCAGGTACCGAACCAGTGGCCCAGGGGCCCCATACGGCCTTTTGGCAATTATTGGACAGCCCTCGGAGCTCCAGCAGACCATAGCCTGTGTTACCTTACCTAGGTGCTCAAGCCAAAAAGTTTCTTTAACACCATCTTACTTTTTTCTATTAAAAGTGGGACAAGTTATTACTTTAGGGAGTCAGTATTGAGCACAAATATGGAAGAATTGATTCATAAAGGGACTGCAAGAGCAGTGATCTCTAACGCCTTCATATAATGAGTCCCCTGTTTATGACTGTCTCCTGAAGCATATCCCCAGTGTCTCCAATAACTCCTATAGCATGTGTGAAGTCTCTGATCATCTCCCGTTTCATATCTACAGTCTCTGACCATCTCCTGTTTCATGTCTGCAGTCTCTGACCATTCCCTGTAGTATGTCTGCAAGCACTGTTTATCTCCTGTTGCATGTTTACAGTCTCTGACCATCTCTTATTCCATGTCTGCAGTCTCTGACCATCTCCTGTTCCATGTCTGCAGTCTCTGACCATCTCCTGTTCCATGTCTGCAGTCTCTGACCATCTCCTGTTAGATGTCTATAGTCTCTGACCATCTCCTGTTCTATGTCTTCAGTCTCTGACCATCTCTTCTTCTATATCTGCAATCTTTGAATATCTCCTATTCCATGTTTGCAATCTTTTGACCATCTCCTGTTCCATGTCTGCAGTCTCTGATCATCTCTTCTTTCATGTCTGCAGTCTCCGACTGTCTCCCGCAGCATGTCTGCGCTCTCTGACCATCGCCAGGATCATGTTCAAAGACTACAGATGGTCAAAGACTATGTCTTCAGTTTCTATCTCCTGTTGTATCTCTGCAGTCTCTGACCATCTCCTGTTCCATGCCTGCAGTCTTTGACCCTCTCTTGTTCCATGTCTGCAGTCTCCAAACATCCCCTGTTCTATGTCTGCAGCTGCTGACCATCTTCTGCAGCATGTCTGCAGTCTCTGACCATTTCCCTGTCATGGTCAAAGATTACAGATGGTCAAACACTATGTCTGCAGTTTCTATCTCCTGTTGTATCTCTGCAGTCTCTGACCATTTCCTGTTCCATGCCTGCAGTCTTTCACCATCTCCTGTTCTGAGTCTGCAGTCTCTGAGTCTGACCACCTCTTGTTCCGTGTCTGCAGTCTCCAACCATCCCCTGTTGCATGTCTGCAGACGCTGACGATCTCCTGCATCGTGGTCAAAGACTACAGATGGTCAAAGACTATGTCCGTAGTTCTATGTCTGCAGTCTCTGACCATCTCCTGTTCCATGTCTGCAGTCTCTGACCATCTCCTATTCCATGTCTGCAGTCTCCGCCATCTCCTGTTCCATGTCTGCAGTCTCTGACCATCTCCTGTTCCATGTCTGCAGTCTCTGAGTTTTCTGTAGCATTACAATCACTGAATATTATCCTTATGTCCCTTTGGTAATAATGGAGCACACTTGGTCCCCCCATTTTAAGAACGTTGACCACCCTGCTCTAACCCTTCCCTCCTCTATCCAAAACAAAAAAAATGCCCTTACATACACTTCAAAAAAAGGCATAATTGAGAAACAAAGAGGCATGGGGAGGGGCGGTTGGGTTCCAAA